TATAGAACATAGTCTGAAAGAACACATAGGTTACTAAGTTTGTTTTATAATTTAACGCGGACGGATTAGGATGCGATAGCTAGTGTTATTATATTTGCTTACTATTTAATATTTAAATGACATTTCAAAGTTTCTCGAATAAATAAGTATAGGTATTATTCGATAAGATATGAATTTCTTTTAATCAACAATTATTTGTTACTAACATTATTCAAGGTCACTTAATCGGAGTTTCTTGAAATCAATATGTCTTACTAATATAAACTAGCTGTCGCCCGCGACTCCGTCCGCGTGGATATATAAAAAGACTTAGTGTAGCCCACCCATCCATCCACATCACAACCATCTAAACATTTGCAGCTATAATATTAGTAAGTTAAATAAAAAGTATTAAATTATTCAAACTTTCTTGAGACATTATACTAAACTGATATATAAACACGGCTAAACACTCACGTATATACGTCCGGTGGCGGCACCGACTAGTTTCGAGCCCATCGGGGGCCCTTCATCAGGATGAGTGGTACTGGTATTATTTCGCGGACTTTACTAGTGAGCGACGGGCCGCCACCGGACGAATATACGTGAGTGTTTAGCCGTGTTTATATATCGGAAGATAGCCTGTGTATACAAGTGTAAGTAGGCTATTATTTTAATTCCACACTGACGAAGTCGCAAGCAATAGCTTGTGATGTATCAGTTTGTCCTTAATGCGTGTATAGGCTATTCCAATGTTTTACGTGGCTCAAGGTCATTGCGTACTGCCCTTTATACCTAACATTGCGCGCATTGACTCGTACGATGTTCCGAGCTGATATGATATTTGAAAACAATTATACTGGATAGATTTTGATGAAACTCTGGTAGGATTTTCTAAGATTTAATTACAATTATGATAGGTATATAAAGGTATAATATACCTATCATAAATGTACATAAGACGTCGGTGGCTCAGTGGTCAAGCACTTGACTTGCAATCTGCAAGGTCCTGGGTTCGAATCCCGCCATGTACCAATGTGTTTTTCCATTTCCGATTTACATATGTACATATATCCGACGTTATGGTGAAGGAAAACATCGTGATGCTCCACATATCTGAGAAGAAATTCAATGATATGTGTGAAGTCACTGCACTTGGCCATCTTGGTTGATTATGGCCTAATCACTCTTAACTTACAGGCTCCGAGCCCCTCAGTGGGGACGTATAGTGAGCTGATGATGATGATGATATAAAGGTTAAAAGTAATAAAATTATACATAATGTCTACAACTACTGTATATGTTTTTATATATAATAATATATTTAATTGCATATTATGCAACTATGTTATAATGTTATAGCCTTTAATACGTGTTTGTAGATATACAAACAATTAGATTCGGCATCAACAAATGTTTTATTTACTGACCTTTATAAATGGACTGGCTGTAACTCGAAGTATTTTGTGCCTTTTTGATTTCACTATTGGATAGTCCATTTATAGAGGATTTAGGCTATATAATATTACGCTGCGACTAATAGGAGCGAAGCTTTAGTGAGTAGTAATGTTTTTTTAAACACCGCACAGACGGAGTTTCGGGCGACAGCTTGTGTTGAATAAACGCGAACGTTAAACTGCGACAATCATGTGATTTATTCAAAGTTTTTATCAGTTCTATATATTTTTGAAGTTTGCTATGATATCGCTTGATAGCGGACGCATGTCTAGACCCTAAGGGAACGTACCCGTATTATGTGACCCGTATAGAAGGGTGGGTTGGGGCGGAGTCTTTAAAATACTACGGTCAGTCACTGGAGCGGGAGGGTGGTTCAGGTTTTTGTGACGTAGTGTTTAGTTGTTCTTTCATAATACATAATTCACTAGTAATTTAAGTATTTATGCAAAAGACGAGTATGAGCCAATTTTTTTTTTCCTTTGAATTTTTTTTTTAGAAAAAATAGCAGATTTTGTGTGAATTTACTAATATTTCTTTCTACCATTCCAACTAACCTCTAGGGTTGTGCTAGGCCATGGTTTACGACAATAGTCGAATGGCGGGATTCGAACTCTCAACCTCGTGATCGGAAATCCGTACCTCTAATCATTAGGCTATTGGCGCATAAATTTGCTAAAAATTGGCGGTTAAACATAATAATTATGAATTACTACGTAAAAACTAAAAGTGGGGGTGTTGTCTTGGCATGTACTACGAGTGGTCACCGAGGGGAGGGAGGGGTCGAAAAAACTAAAATAGGTCACGAATTGGCCCGACTCGCCCAGTGAAATAACACGACCACACAGAAGACAGGCGTGAAGTGGAAGCAATTCCGCGTTTCGTCTGATGAGTGTGCGTCCCGGAGGCCTAATTTAGTCCTCTTTCCCTTCCCACCCTTTTTCTTATAAGGAAAGGATGGGAAGTGAAAGTGGACTTTCCGGATGAGAGGATGCATGGAAGGGAAAATATTTTCTTTCTGTGCATCCTCTTCTCCGTCGATTAAAGGTAGGCAACGCATATTCAATTGCGTATGTCTATGGGCAACGGTCACTTCGCTATTTCAGCGATTTTAGTGTGGCCGCTCGCTCGTTTGCCACCTTATGATATAACAAAAAAACGTAGTAAGGGTATGTTCCCAAAGATAGAATAGAAAAATTTAGTTTTTCTTTACAGAAGACAAAAGTGTCTGTGTGTGTTCCCAGCTTTAGTTATTGGTAAAGTCATTGAGTGAATTCCTAATCGGTTAATCAACTAATCCTATCTGTAATCCACTTCAAGACAGATAATTGTGGATACTAAATGTCTGCAACCTTATGATTAAAAAAAAATCTCAACATTCGCATTTATAATATTAGTAAAATAGAAAGGCATAGACAAAATTAACTTAAATGAATTTTAAACATCGCATTATGTATTTTGTGAAGCAAACGTATTGCGTAAATGTTTACCTTACGACCTTAGGGTAAAGGTGGGGCATCACTTTGAATGAAAAAAATCTTGCAAGAAATAAATCTTGCTAATATTATAAATGCGAATGTTTAGATGGATGGTTGTTTGAATGTGTCTCAAGAACGACTGAACAGATCTTGATGAAAATTGTCATACATATAGAACATAGTCTGGAAGAACACATAGGATATCAATTAAGTTTTTTTTTATTCCACGCGGACGGAGTTGCTGGCAGCTAGTTATTAACATTAGGTCTTACTGACTTAACTCAATTAAACCTTTTAGGCTAGAGTTAGTCGTAGGTATTTCATATTTTAGTGGAAGTAGGATTAATATACATTTTCTTTCATAATTAAATATTTAAGGCGTGAAGTGGAAGCAATTCCGCGTTTCGTCTGATGAGTGTGCGTCCCGGAGGCCATATTTAGTCTTCTTCCCCTTCCCACCCTTTTTCTTATAAGGAAAGGATGTGAAGTGGAAGTAGACTTTCCGGATGAGAGGATGCATGGAAAGGGAAAATATTTTCTTTCTGTGCATCCTCTCCTCCGTCGATTAAAGGTAGGCGACGCTTATGCAATTGCGTAAGTCTATGGGCAACGGTCACTTCGCTATTTCAGCGATTTCAGGTGGCCGCTCGCTCGTTTGCCACCTTATGATATAAAAAAAAATTAAAAACATTTTCATCATCATCATCATCAGCTCACTATACGTCCCCACCGAGGAGCTCGGAGCTTACCCTAAGTTAAGGGTGATTACACCATAGTCAGCCACGCTTGTCAAGTGCGGGTTGACTTCTCAGATATGTGCAGCATCACGATGTTTTCCTTCACCGTAAGAAAGTCAGATAAATGTACATATGTAAATCGGAAATCTAAAAACACATTGGTACATGGCGGGATTTGAACCCAGGATCTGCAGATTGCAAGTCAAGTGCTAAACTCCAAAGCCACCTAAAAAAACATTTAGAAAAATATTTTATTTATCCGCTTTCCTCTTCGTTGTAACTATGGCCCTACCTTTATCCATTTACCTCAGAATATAGGCAATCATATAACGATTTGTTTTGTTATAACGACTTATGATTATCTTAACATCCTTTATCATGAGTTATGTTTTAACAGTTGAGTTTATTCTATTATTTTTAATATTATAAGGTAGTGAGCAAGCCACTTGACCACCGTAATAGAGGAGCGATCGCTGCCAGTAATTGCAAATGCGTTGTCTAACTTTAATCAACGGAGGGATGCACGGATAAGGGTCCTTTCCTATGTGTCCACTTCTCTGTCAAATCCAATTCACTTTCCCATCCTTTCTTTGTAACAAATAGAGGAAAGAAGTGGAGTAAAATTAGGCCTAGGGAAAGTATAATACATTATCAGACGAAATGTATGGTTTTCAATTCACATCTGTCTTTTGTATGCTATATTTAAATAAATGTGAAAAGAGTTACATCTTCAAAGATGTAACTCTTTTCATCGGATGGAATTTATTGTTTTTACTGTGGGGAACAACTCTTGGCTATAGCAACCGATCCAAAGAAAAAAAATACTATGAGTCATGTAACTTTATTCCTCAGGTGATTGAGAGATGTAACTTTATTCCTGTTATGTGCAATTTTTATGTTTGTATAAGGTTATTGTTTTCGGTTTAATCTTAATTACCTGTAATAAAAACTTTTTCTTGCTTTCTTTCTTTCCTCGGATGATTAAGAGATGTAACTTTCTTCGTCAAGCGATCGTAAGATGTGTAACTTTATTAGTCAGTTGATTTGGGAACGTACCCATACTACGTGACCCGTTTGGGGGGAGGAGGGAGGTTAGCGGAGTCTTTAAAATACTACGGTCAGTCACAGGAGCGGGGGGGGTGGGGCTCAGGTTTTTGTGACGTAGTCGTTAGTTGTTCTTCTTCATAATACAGTATTCACTAGTAGTTTAAGTATGCATGCAGTCTTACACGGTCACGTAGTATGGGTATGTTCCCTTACCAGAGATGTAACTTTATTCCTCGGATGATTATAAGAGATATAACTATATTCCTCGGTTTGGACGATATATTTTTTATTGTTTTCTTTACAGTATGGCCGTCAACACATTGAAGTTGCAAAGAAACTGCAAAGGAGTGACAGTTCTGATGAGGAGGAGCCCCTCGTACCTGATGATAAGCCACCATCAGCTATTATTAAAGAAAATGGTGTTAATGGTAAGTTAAACACATTTATTTAATACCAGCGGTCGTCCGAGAGTCCCTCCGCGAGGAATTAAAAAAAACATAATTAGTAGTCTATGTGTTCTTCCAGACTATGTTCTATATGTATGACAAATTTCATCAAGATTCAAGCAGCCGTTCTGGAGATATCTTGTAACAAACATCCATCTAAACATTCACATTTATAATATTAGTATAGTTAATAAGATTATAAGCGGTCACCAGATTCGCCGAAAGATCGAGGCAACCGCTGCCACAGACATCCGCAATTGCCGATGCTTTGTCTACCTTTATTCACAGGATTTACGCACAGTAAGAGAATATTTCCCCTTCCTATGTGCAACCTGCTCCGTCCACCATAAGAAAAGAGTGGGTAGGGAAATTGGACTAAAGTTAAGTCTTAATGTATCTCCAGAACGGCTAACGACGACGAAATTTCGTATAACTAAAGAACATAATATGGAGTAACACATAGGCTACTAATTATTTTGTTTTTTTTTAAATTCTGTGCGGACGGAGTCGCGGGCCACAGCTAGTCTTGCGTTATTATTTAGGCTTCTTTTTCTAATTCTACGCTGACGTAATCTATGAATTTTTGTCTGTGTTTTTGGTACAAATTAAATATACAGTTTTTATTACGATCGCGTTTTCACCGATGTTACATAATGTTACTTTAGAGGCCAAAGAAATCTTAATCCGCTTCCGCTATGTTTATGTTATGTGCGTTCGCATTGTCGAAATATGTATATAAAACATGTTGGTTTCTTCGGAGTGAGTTTAACAACGAACCCAGGAACTGTAGATTACAGGCCACACAGAAGACAGGCGTCAAGTGGAAGCAATTCCGCGTTTCGTCTGATGAGTGTGCGTCCAGGAGGCCTAATTTAGTCCTCTTTCCCTTCCCACCTATTTTCGTATAAAGAAAGGATGGGAAGTGGAAGTGGACTTTCCGGAAGATATGATGCATGGAAAGGGAAAATATTTTCTTTCTGTGCATCCTCTCCTCCGTCGATGAAAGGTAGGCAACGCATATGCAATTGCGTATGTCTATGGGCAACGGTCACTTCGCTATTTCAGCGATTTCATATAATATATATAAAATTAATTCATATGTCTTTATTTCAGGTACAAAGACAACGGTTATAGAACGACAAGAGATACTAGGGCCGTCACCGGAGTTGAATTATAGGCGGGTTCAGAACGGACATAAAGCTGAACAAGGGAATGGAGAGGTGAGACTGATAATTTTCTTATTTATGACCTGACTAGATGTCGCCCACGACTCCGTCCGCGTGGATATATAAAAAATAAACTTATTAGTGTAGCCTATGTGTTCTCTCAGACTATGTTCTATATGTATGCCAAATTTAATCGAGATCCGTTCAGACCTTCTAGAGATATCTTCAAACACCCATCCATCCATCCACGTCACATCCATTTAAATGTTAAATGAATAAATATTATCCTATGTCTATCTCCTGGCTCTAAGCTACCTCCTCACCAATTTTCAGGCATATCGGTTAAGCCGTTCTTGAGTTATAAATAGTGTAACTAACACCACTTTCTTTTATATGCATAGATTTAGTTAAAACAAACACTAATTGTTAAGTTTAGCATATTGCGATGTATTGGTGAAAACCGATTTAAAATCGGTTATGCCGTTTCTAAGATTAGCGCGCACGAAATTGCAGTATTAAAACAAAAACTTAGTAACCTATTAAACAACTTTTCGCTTGGCACAGGACAGGAAAGGGTTCTCTGAGCTGACGGCCAACCAGTAATGGAGGGGCATTAGAAGAAGTACCTATGTGTTCTTCCAGACTATGTACCATATATATGCTAAATTTCATAGAGATCCATGCAGCTCTTCTGAAGATACCTTCCAAACGGGCTTGGTGGATCTCACTGAAATTTAACACATATGTAGAACATAGTCTGGAAGTACAGATAGGCTACTAATTAAGTTTTTTTTAATTTTCAATAGTAAATCACACTCCACTAAGGTCTTTACTTGTGTTAGGATATGGTTTACGACAATAGTCGAGTGGCGGGATTCCAAATCCCGACCTTGTGATTGGAAATCTGTACCCTTAACCGTTTGGTTATTGACGCTAAGTTGCGGGAGATAGTTAGTACGTAATAAATCCTAAATTAATTATGCCTATTACTTTCAGACTAACTTAGAGTTCCATTTCTACCATTGTATGGATCTGGTAAAAGCTGGTATGGAGTCAATAATAGAAGACCAGGTCACCTCCGTCTTTGAGGCCGAAGAGTTGAGGAGTTGGAACTTACTGACTAGAACTAATAGGTAAGTTCATTTTGAATTTATGATTAATTTTAACAAGTAAAAATTGTGCCTTTTACAACTAAATAATATTTGTAGTTGAACAAATGTTAACCTTTTGAACGCCGGCTATGGATGTTAAAATGGTGACATCTCACCATAAATATGTATCACTAATTTCGTTATAAGTATATTTGATTATTGATTAAAAAGTCATTTTGTAAACCAACGCATAAATATGTTTTCAATAGCTATAATTTCACCGTCAGCTCGTTATACGTCCCCACTGAGGGGCTCGGAGCCTACTCTAAGTTAAGGGTGATTAGGCCATAGTCAACCACGCTGACCAAGTGCAGTGACTTCACACATATCTTTGAACTTCTCAGATATGTGCAGCATCAAGATGTTTTCCTTCACCGTAACATCGGATAAATGTACATGTGTAAATAGGAAATGGAAAAACACATTGGTACATGTCGGGATTCGAAACCAGGACCTGCAGATTGCAAGTCAAGTGCTTGACCACTGAGCCACTGACGACTTAAGCTATAATTTGTTAACCCTTAATTCGACGAAATTTTTTGTAGCAAAAAAACATTTTTTATTAAGTAAAGATTTTTTTAATTAGTTGTTCGTCACACTGGACACCATCGAATTAAGGGTTAATCCACGCTTCGTTAAACAGTTTAAAAATGTTCACATATGTTTAGTAATGCCCTTATTTTATTTTAAAGATGTACGTTGTATTAAATTGATATAAAAACGGCTAAAAGTCTTACGTATGTTAGTCCGGTGGCACCGAATAGTTTCAAGCCTATAGGGGGCCCTTCATCAGGATGAGTGGTACTGGTACAGTGAGCTGAGGGCCTTGTCCGCGATATAATACCAGTACCACTCATCCTGATGAAGGGTCCCCGATATGCTCGAAGTTATTCGGTGTCACCGGACTAATATACGTGTTTAGCCGTTTTTATACCAGTTTAGTATAATGTATCACGAAAGTTTAAATAATTTAATATACGTTGTGTGATATTTGTCTTTATTACAGGCAGTATGAATTTTTAACATGGAGGTTAACAATAATTTGGATGATGGGTTTTGTTGTTCGCTATTTCTTTTTATTACCTTTGAGGATATTGATATTCGTTATTGGGGTGAGTTATTTTGTAATATTACTTGATTTGTTTAATGTTGTATAGTTTTTAGTTTTTTATATATAGTGTTAGAGGTTAAAAATTTTGAATCCGACTCGAAGGACCATTATGTGAAATTTCAGAAATCGTCAAAATCAGTTCAGCTGTTTCGAAGATTATAAAGAAGACACCGATTTAATAATTTGAATTATCGTTATAAACTTTTTTTTAAATTATTTACAGCATCTAATTTAATTAATTGTAGTATTATTATTATTTGATTTTCTTTTTTTTTGAGGGTAATATAACTGTGGTTAACAAAATTTACTTTAATATAAAAAATTAATATTCTATAACTTCATTAAAGTGGTCAGTTAAGATGTACAAAATTCATTACAAAAAAAAATCTACCAAAACCTACTAAAAGTTACCATTGCACTGGTAACACCAGGTGCTGACGCTACTCTGGACAATGCTATTGGTGAGCACATTACCAACGAAGCGTTTGCGTCGCTTCTTCGGCGCAATATCCTACAAAATATCGATGAGAATTCTGATGAGAAGCCTTTCTTGTGTTGTATTTTATCATGACGTACAACATTTGCCGAAGGAAAAGGGCTTCTGTGTTGCCAACCATACCAGCCCGATAGATGTCATTATATTAAGCTACAACAGTTATTTCTCTTTGGTAGTTTTTTCTTATTTAATGTGTGCACACTTTTCGTCTATGGTTGTCTTTGTTGTTTGGGGGATTTTGGTTTTTAGTGTATTCGTGGTTATTGTTGGTAATATAAGATGGAAATCCGACACTGCATATCGCAACACTGGCCTTACTAAAATCAACGTTTATGTCCCCTCACTAATCATTCTGACACTTGACTTTGTAACGAAAGTCATTCGCGACAAAGGATTCTAATTAAAAATGTTGAACAGTGTTGCCATATTAATAATACAAAATATTTTTTATTAAAATCTGATATAAAATACGTAATTCAATATTACTTAACAATAACGATGAATACACAATATTCCAATCTGTATAGGAATTAAATAATTCCGATACAGATTGGAATACATCGGAATATTCCACAAACATTCGGGAATATTCTTTAACGCATGCCATTCCATCATCGCTTAGGTATGGTGGCTGATCATCAGTACAGCATGCGTTGGTACATTACCAGATGGACCTTTTAAACAGCGAGTGAACCATGCCATGTCTATAATGAGCTTTAATTTCCTATCAAGATGTATATCTATGGTCATAACATACCATGATGGTGACATAAATAGACCTAAAAATGGCATATGCGTAGCAAATCATACGAGCCCAATAGATGTTTTGGTGTTGATGTGCGATAATTGTTATTCATTGGTAAGTAAAATGTTAAAAAATATGATACAATTATGAGATGTCATTCCGTTCGTAGCGTTTTCGGTGAGGGTCGGCTGTTAAAAGGTTAAGACTTTTATTCCAATGTAACTCTCGATTATTTTAAATGTTAAGTGACCATTTATAATATTGTTAAATTGATGGAGTTAATGTAAATCTTCGAACTAGCTTAGCTCTTTCGAATAGCTTTGCGTTATTCACAGTGAATTGTCGATGTGAGTCTGACAGACGTGAAGTGGAAGCAATTCCGCGTTTCGTCTGATGAGTGTGCGTCCTCTTTCCCTTCCTACCCTTTTTCTTATAAGGAAAGGATGAGAAGTGGAAGTGGACTTTCCGGATGAGAGGATTGCCCATAGACATACGCAATCGCATATGCGTCGCCTACCTTTAATCGACGAAGGAGAGGATGCACAGAAAGAAAATATTTTCCCTTCCCATGCATCCTTTTATCCGGTAAGTCCACTTCCACTTCCCATCCTTTCCTTGTAAGAAAAGAATGGGAAAGGAGAGAGGAGTAAAATTAGGCTTCCGAGACGCACATTCATCAGACTGTAGTTAGAATAGCTTCCACTTGAGGCGTGTCTTATGTATGGACAATTCGTGCGAAGATGTTAAACCGGGCTCTACCACTGTTAAATGTCCATGTGGACTGTAGCTCCGCTATCTTGTAAATTTTAGTGACTTTCCACGACGATGTGTAGGAACCTCTATAACAGTCTTTCCCAAAGTGTGCGATAACGTCCCCTTGTGGGCGCTGCAGGTCTCAAGTTGCGGGTAATAGTAAAAGTTTCCTTTACAATTCTCCGTTAATATACATATATAGGTCACAATAATTAATTAATTTAATTTGAAGTTATAGTGGTTTTTAAATATGTGAAAATATGGGGGGCGCTAAAAATATATTTCTTCTCAAAGTGGGCAGTAGACAAAATAAGTTTGGGAACCACTGATATAGAACATTGTATTGCGTTATTCATTACGAATAAAATTCTCCATATTTCAAAGATTTACGTTACCTCGTGGGAGAGCCTCAGTTGATTTTAAAATTCATTGTGAAGTTTTTTTTTTGGGAATATCATGAATTCTGCATGTTTGTGACGTCTAAAGAAATGGGATTTTAGTTATAAAAATTATATCTCTAATAAAAATAAGAAATTAATTTACAAACTTTTAATATAAATACAGTCAGACTTTGTTAAGCGAGAGTCCAAAGTCCGAGATATTTTCGCTTATAGAGGTTTCTCTCTAAATCAAGTTTCTCGCTTATGAACAATATCCGTCAAGACCGGACACTTGCTTATATCGGACGAAAAGAGTTATATCTCTTAAGAGATGTAACTCTTTTCGTCATCAGTCGATTTTCTTTAAATATGTTATATTTACTATTTTAGATTGGTCAAAGACACGACGGCTTTCTAGGGCTCTTGCAAAGAGCGCTAGCTAGGGCTTCGCCCCATATATGGTTCGAAAGATCTGAAGTTAAAGATAGACATGCAGTTGCTAGAAGGTAAGTTTGTTATGATAGAATTTTCTTTCTAATTTTGACGTTTGTCTTGAAATTAGCTGTAGCCCATGACTCCGTCCGCCCGGAATGTAGCCTATGTGTTCTTCCAGACTATGTTCTATATGTATGCCAAATTTCAGCTAGATCTGTTTAACAGTTCTGGAGATACCTTCTAACAAACATCCATCTAAACATTCGAATTTTCGTCTCCAATAATATTGTGAAGGAAAACATCGTGATGCTGCACATATTTGTGAAATGACAATGATATATGTGAAGTCGCATTGGATCAGCATTCACTATGACCTAACTTAGGGTAGTCTCCGAGTCTCAGTGGATGTATAGTGAGCTGATGATGATGAAAGTTCTAAATATTTTCAGGTTAAAAGAGCACATCTCAGTGCCAGACAATCCTCCGATTCTTATCTTTCCTGAAGGCACTTGTATTAATAATACTTCGGTAATGCAATTTAAGAAAGGAAGTTTTGAAGTCGGCGGCACTATATACCCAGTAGCTATCAAGTACGTAGCCGTAATGATGAAAACAGTTACATCTTATATCTGATCAGATGTAACTCTTTTCGTTGTATTAGTTCATTTTAGAAAATATGTATATAATTGAATTAACAAGAAATAATTGGAAAACTTAAGGAAATTCTCAAAAATAAAATTTAAATATTTTTTTTAATTATAACTTGGCAAACGAATAGTCGAAAGTTCGAATCCAGCCTTTCCTTTTCTAGCACAAGACTAAAGCTTAGTTAAAATAGTACAAGAAATATTGATAAACTAGCTGTTGCCCGCGATCCGTCCGCGCTGAATTAAAGAAATCCTAATTATTAGTAGTAGTCTATGTGTTCTTCCAGACTATGTTCTATATGTATGACAAATTTCATCGTTATCTGTTCAGCCGTTCTGAAGATATCTTCAAACAAAAATCCATCTAAACATTCGCATTTATATTAGTAAGATTAACAAAAATCTGCTTATTTAATGAAAAATGTTTGATATGTAACTCTTTTCGTGACATGTAACCATATATCTTTGTATCGTATAGATACGATCCACGTTTTGGTGATGCGTTCTGGAACAGTTCTCGTTACGGGATGCTGCATTATCTGCTGAATATGATGAGCTCGTGGGCTATTGTTTGTGATGTGTGGTATTTACCACCAATGCATCGCTACAATAATGAGACGGCTGTTGACTTTGCTAATAGAGTCAAAGCTGTTGTTGCCAGGAGAGGCGGATTGGTGGATTTGATGTGGTAAGTATGTTGAAGATGTCGCCCACTGGCGAACAAAAAATGTAACCTTTGTGTTCTTCCAGACTATTTCTACATCTATGCCAAATTTCAGCGAGATCTATGGAGCAGTTCTGGAGATATCCTCTAACAAACATCCATTCATCAAAACTTTTGCATTTATATCAGACTAGCTGTCGCCCGCGACTACATCCGTGTGGGATTAATAAAACTTGTATCCTATGTGTTCTTTCAGACTATGTTATTTAAGGCCAAATTTTAGCGTGATCTATGCAGTCGTACTGGAGATATCTTCTAACAAACATCCATCCATCCTTTATAAAGTTTTTACATATTTTTATAATAAAGAAAAACCCGCACCCGAGGTCCCTGACCCACACATGTTAGGGGAATGAGAGAGCCGCCCAAAAAAAAAACATCCATCCATCCAAACTTTTAAGTAGCTGTCGCTTGTGACTCCGTCCACGCGGAATTAAAAAATAACTGAATTTATAGCCCGTGTTCTTTCAAGTTAAAACATAGGTTTTATATCTGTGCCAAATTTCAGCGAGATCCATCCATTTAAATATACGCATTTATAATATTAAATAAATAAAATATAAATGCGATAGTTTGCTTATTTCTTTGAAAAAGTTCGATTCCCTTTAATTAAGGACAAAATTAAAAAAAAATCTAACATTTTTTTTTCAGGGACGGTCAACTAAAACGTATGAAGGCTAAGAAGGAATGGAGGGAATTACAACAGGAGGAATTCAGTAAAAGACTGAAGGGAGAGTAATTGAAGACCGGAGACCAGAGCCCGGTGTAGACCGGAGACAGGAGACTAAGTGATATGTGTTGTGATGTAATGTTTTTATAAAAGAATCTAGTTGGAGAAAAGAAGGGAAAAGAAGAACGGTGATACTAGAGATAGTAATCGTTAATAATATCCAATAAAAAGGGTTACATCTCTTAGCTATCTTGAGATGTAACCTTTTTCAATAGGTAACTTAAATCTATAAAAAAATATCTTGAGAGATAAAGCCGTATTTTCTTGTTGGGTTACAAGTTTTTAGGATTATCTTAATATGTAACCTTTTTCGTTGCATTTGTATCTTATATCTTGAGATGTAACTCTTTTCGTTATTAAATAAATCATAAATAAAAAAAAATTAGCATCCATTTTTAATGATTTCGTGTTTATCGAATTTGTATATACGAACGTTTTTGATAAATTCCTTATGTAGCTTATTTATGAAATTCGTCAGTTTATAAACTTACTAGGAAAACTGTCGGAAAATTGCACTGAACGAGATTGGCAATTTGATGTGATAATTAACACGTCGAATTGTGAATTTGTACAGTTCACAATTTTACTGATATGTCTAGCTCTAGTCGGTTTGTAATTTGTCGTAATTCATAATATTTAATTATTCAAACTTTCGTGAGAAATTATAATAAACTTATATAAAAACGGCTAAAACACTCACGTATATTCATCCAGTGGCTCATTGAGCTGGTGGTCGCGTCTCCGATATAGACCAGTCCCACTCACCCTGATGAAGGGTCTCCGATGGGTTCGAAAGTCGGTGCCCCCGGACGTATATACGTCAGTGTTTAGATGTTTTTATATAAGGGAACGTACCCATACTACGTTACCTGTTTAGGGGGGGGGGGCGAAGTCCTTAAAATACTACGCTCAGTCACAGGAGCGGGGGAGGGGGCCTCAGATTTTAGTCACGTATTCGTTATTTGTCTTTTTTTTTCATAATACATAATTCACTAGTAATTTAAGTATGCATGCAAATCTTATGCTATAAAGAAGAGTATGAGCCAATTCTTTTTTTCAATTTTTACCCGTGAAATGATTAAAAATAATCATAATTATGAATTACAACGTAAAAACTAAATCTTGTTGGGGGTCTTGGCATGTACATCGACCCCTCCCTCCTCTCGAGTGGTCATCGAGAGGAGGGAGGGGTCGAAAAAACTAAAAAAATAGGTCGCGTAGTATGGGTATGTTCCCTAAGCCGTACATAATATTTCGGTGATTATATATGAGAAATCATATTTAGTATTTAATAGGCTCAGTGAATATATTTGTATATAAATAAATACGGTAGCTGTTGTAAAAATTAAATAGTAATTAATAAAAAAATCCGACTGACTTTATCTCTTACAATATTAAAACCATCTCAAAGGTCGGCAATGCGGCGATTCCTCTGGTATTGCTGATGTCCATGAGCGATGAACCTCGGTGTTCCCGCTGCTTGGCCCCTTCTCTTATAATAAACCGCTTTATACGACAACTGAAAACAGTATATCGGTTATAGCAACTTAAAAATCGATATAAAAGCCTTTTTAAACACATTTAAAGGCAATTAAGATTTTATCAGTCTTTATTGTTTACTGATCTTTGTCGCTTCCCTCTTGTCAGTTGGATAGTTTTAAAAGCTTGAAATTCTTAGAAATATTGAACTGAGTATTATTTTGGTGCGTTAATATCATTTGAAGTTACTAAAGTGATTAAATCACATTTCAAAGTATTTATAAATAAAATAGCCGTCGCCCGCGACGTCGTCTGCGCGGGATTAAAAATAGATGTTCTCCGATTGTCAGACCTACTCAATATGCTCACAAAATTACATGAGAATCGGTCAAGCTGTTTCATAGGAGTATGGGAACGAAAATTGTGACACGAGAATTTAATATATAAGATGTAATTTTACAATTTCTGACCTTTAGATGAGTTTAGCAATAAAAATTGATCCGACAAAGAAATAAGGTATATCTTGAGATGTAACCTTTTTCGGTCGTACGAAAATTTTCACATCTTGGAATGTAACCTTGTTAGTACATACGAAAATAATTACATCTTAAGATGTCTCCTTTTTCGTTCGTATTAAATAGTTACGTCTTGAGATGTAACCATTCACGCACGGAAATAGAGACACCTTTACCCTTAATTCGATGGTCTCCAGTGTGACGAACAACTAATTTAAAAAAATCTACTGAACTAGTTTAGAGAAAATTACGTATGACTTTACTAAAAAAACAGTTTTGCTACAAAAAATTTCGTCGAATTAAGGGTCAAAATGTAGCTTTTTTCTTATGTACGTAAATAGTTATATCTTTAAATGTAACTTTTTTCGTTTGTACGAAAATAGTTACATCTTGAGATGTACCTTTTTTCGCTGGATCGATATTGTTTCAACTCTGCTTACACTATTTTAGTAACCGGTATTATGTTATTTGGTAACGTTACAGCTTACTGCATATACAGGATGATTTACGTCGCATTTGAAGAATCACCCTGTTTATTATTTTTTTATAAAATAATATAAAATCCATAGTTGCTTTAAAAATAATTAGAAATGAATGAAATATTGTCTTTGAAAAAATATAAAAAATAAATATTTTTTATAGGAATTGCTTGTATTATAGGAACTGTTTACCCCCTTTTTATAATTATTGGTTAATATTTGATAATATATAAATGCTTAACATATTTAAAATAAATAACAAAAATCAATAGATTTAAATATTTAAAAAAAAATGTTTTTTTTCGTCAACTCTTTTGCCTAAAATCCAAAATACATACAAAATTGTTTACTCGCCAAGCATTTAACCTCTCACAGTGTGTTTCTGAAACCCAAAATCTTAGTTTAAAACATATTGATATCTTACACAAAGATGACAGGAATGACGACATGTTTTATACAGTCTCAGAAACCCACTGTCAGTTGAGCTTCATTAAATTGATGAGAAGTAAAGAGGAAATGCATTTTTTTGTATTTAAAACAGTGGTACCTAACGCGAGAAATTGTTTTCCTTGCAGACAAACTCCATAAGCGAGAAATCTTTATAAGCGAGAAAAACATCGCTAATCCAAATTCGACTTTATACCAATTACTTTGCAATTATTTTTAAATACAGCTTTTTATTTGTTACATTTTGAAAGCTATATTGCATTTATACTCGTAACAAATAACTAAAATATTAATACGTTTTTATAAAATCTCGTCAGCTGTGAACATCGTCATCAGAACATAATTTACATTTTGACAATCATCGTAAGTCTCTTCAAAACGAGACATCTATAAATGGAAAAGGCTATACGCATAGTATTTTGTGCCTGATAGAACTGTCACGTAACATCAGGCGCGTTTAAATAGGAACGAAAACGTTGTCATTTCAAAGTAATCACCTATCCATTTATAGTGTTGGATATAAACGTGGTAGCTAATTCATAATCAGATTTATAGTTGAATTCAATGAAAATAAGAAATTAAACAATAATTTAATTCTTCGTGAGCGTCGGTGACTCAGTCAAGCATTTGACTTGCAATCTGCAGGTCCTGGGTTCGAATCCAGACATGTACCAATGTGTTTTTCCATTTGCGATTTACATATGTACATTCATCTAATTTACGATGATGGAAAACATCGTGATGCTGCACATATCTGAGAAGACATTCAAAGATATGTGTGAAGTCACTGCACTTGGTCAGCGTGGTTGACTATGACCTAGTCACCCCTAACTTTGGGTAGGCTCCGAGACCCTCAGTGGAGATAGTGAGCTGATGATTCCAGTCTTATAAAGATAATATTGTTCAGATTTAATATAATTTCTTATTTCTGTTGAATTTGACTTTACACTATGGTTTCCATCACAATTTAAGTCATTTCGCGATGTTTAGATGTAATTTTAATATTTATAATCTATTTATTTTGTGTGTGTGTTTGTATATTATGTGATTTTTTATATAATTTCCTCAGCCTCATGTATTTAGAAGAAGATTTTTTAATAGACTAAAGGAAACTAAAATTTCTGTAATAAACTATTAATCTTTGACATTTTGTTTTTTTTTTCATTACTTACTCTATGACTGTTCTGTAGCATTCATGAATTATTAACATTAATAAAAGAGTTTGTTTTATTTTTATGGATTTAATATCTGTAAACTCTATCTAATATACCTATGTGTTCTTCCAGACTATGTTCTACAAACTAGCTGTCGCCCGCGACTCAGTCCGCGTGGGTATATAAAAACAACTTAATTAGTGTAGCCCATCCATCCATCCATATCACATCCATCTAAACATTCGCATTTATAATATTAGTAAGTTAAATAAAAAGGAACATTTTCATGCCATAAATTCGAAAAACAAATAAATAAATAGTATCCTATGTCCGTCTCCTGGCTCTAAGCTACCTCCTCATCAATTTCCAGGCATATAGGTAAAGTCGTTCTTGAGTTATAAATAGTGTAACTAACACCACTTTCTTTTATATATATTGATTTCAGTGAGATCCATTGAACCGTCCCTGTGATACCTTTAAACAAACATCCATCCATTCATCTAAACATTCGCATTTATAATATTAGTAAGCAGTAAGGTTTAAATACAAACATTTGAACACAGTATTTATTATTTATTTTATCTTTTACAAAAAAAATGTACAAATTACGACCATTTTTTGACTGTTTTTCATTGAAACACTCGACAAGACTTAATTTCTAGAAAATTCTCTTAAATACGACATAAATATTCTTAACACTTATACTTAAATGCATATTAAATTATGTTAATATATCTGAAAACGTACAAAATAACCACACTAAAGAATATAACCTAAAAATAAATACAATTAAAGGTAACATAAAGAAATAAATTAGAAATAAGATTTAAAAAACAAAAACGTAACAATACAAAGAAATTATAAATTCATAGATTAAAAAATGATGTCAATTACTGTAAATAATTTTTAATCTGTCTGTTTAAAAAGCAATATAGAAAGGATAGTTCTTGTGTGTTTCTCCCAAACTGAAATCAAATAATAAAACATATTAATTCCATGTACCAATGTGTTTTGCGATTTCCGATTTACATATGTACATTTATCCGACGTTACGGTGAAGGAAAACATCGTGATGCTGCACATATCTGAGAAGTTCAATGATATGTGTGAAATCACTGCACTTGGTCAGCGTGGTTGACTATGGCCTAATCACCCTTAACTTAGGGTAGCCCCTTAGTGGGGATGTGTAGTGAGCTGTGATATTAATTCTAAATTAAAACCAATAAACTAACAAAGTTATTTGACTAAGTGTTAATTAATCAAACTAAATTATTGCTCACTAACGCCCTCCAGATCCTTGCCTGTGTCTTGTGTTTTGTTCTATTTTATGTTAAGCCTATAGGAAGCTTTACGTATTTTCTGACAGAACTAAATACCATAGTATCGCCTCTTATGGACTCATAAGTTTATCGTATTATAAAAATCTAGCTGTCGCTCGCGACTCCGTCCGCGCGGAATTAAAGACAAACAAATTTAGTAGGTTATGTGTTCTTCCTGACTATGTTCTATATGTATGCCAAATTTCATCAAGATCTATTAAGCAGTTCTGGAGATATCTTCAGACAAACATCAATCTAAGCATTTATAATATTAGTAAGATTTTTTATTAAACTCTTACCCTTTTAAATAATAAGTCCTTTTGTTTTTATTAAGGCTCTTCAATGCGGTAAGATGTGAATCTTCCAGAGATATGAACTGGGCTTTCAAATTGTCGTATAAATGTGCAGCACTGGTCGCCTTTATAACCACACTTCTACTGTTGTGAAGTTGGTAACTGGAAAACAGATGAGCGAGAAACATCTATAAGCGAGAGACAATGTCAATTCCCAACGGACTATCTCTATAAGCGAGAGACTGAAGTTAGAGAGACTACTTTATGGGCGAGAAAATCACAATCAATTTGAATCTCGCTTATCCAGTTGACCAAAATCGTCTGTATTAATTTTGCATGAAGACATAACTTCGTAATGTTAGGAAGAAAATCCAACACTGTGTCGATGTACTGGCAACACTAGCCTTACTAAAATATCGATGTTTATGTCCCCTCACTAATCATTCTGACACTTGACCTTGTAACGAAAACGCGCCATTCGCGTCAAATGATTCCAAAAATGGCTAAAAGTAAAAATATTAATTGCACATAAGTCTTGATTTAAACCAACTAAATAGAAAATACTCACGCGATTAGCATCTGTCCAGGAGTGACCCCCAAACCCGCAGACATGACTAAAACGAGGGGGTCGTCTATGACTGGTGGCAGGTCGCTTTTGTGCTCCGCCGGAGTGCCCTTAGAGCCCAACACACCGTAGCAACTCAGTCTCATACCGTATGCATCGCAGAAACCGCCCAGACGCTCCTGACTTAAGTACGGATGACATTCCACCTGGAATAAATAATAGTTTAACTTTACTCAGAGTTATCACTTAGCTACAGTTAGGGCTTTGGTACACTAGTAGACTATATCACATTAATTCGTACATAGCGCGTCGTTGACATTTCTATGTGTCATCGAAAAAACAGTATTTCACAATCTGTCAATATCATCTGACATCGCTGCAATTTTCAACATGGCGGAAATTACGCGGGAAGGGCTTTAGTAGTTTTTTTCTATAAAAGATTTCTTTTTAGCTACCTTGAAGAAAAGACTAGACTATATTTCGAAATTATAATAAGATGATAGAGGTTGTAAATACCTGATTAACAACAGGCTTAATCCGTCCTTTTTCCATAATCCGGTGAACCTGCTCAGAGTTGAAGTTACTAACACCGCCTCTGCGAACCAAACCTTTGACAATCAGGTCTTCTATACCTTGCCACGCGTCCATATAATCATGTACGGAGTATTGGAGTACGTTGGCTATCTTTGGTAGAGGGTCTGAACCTTCCTGGAATTAAAAAAGTATATTAGATTCTACCATAGACAAACTGCAAATTACACTAAAACTTGAATCCTAGTCAGCAGTCGCCCGCGACTCCGTCCACTCGGAACTAAAAGAAGCCTTTGTGTTCTTCTTGACTATGTTCTACATCTCCAAATTGAATGGAGATTCGTTGAGCCGTTCCTTACATACCTTCAAAGAAACATCCATCTAAACATTCGCATTTATAATATTAGTAATATATAAATAACTGACAGTCAAAACAATATGGCCGCCATTTGAATTTGACGTCTTTCTGTTTACTTAATTCTGGTTTTTAATCGTAACAAAAGATAGTTAATATTAGTAAGTAATCTTACTAATAAAATATTATAAATGCGAATGTTTAGATGGATGTTTGTTTGAAGGTATCACCAGAACGGCTCAACGGATTATGATGAAATTTGTCATAGATGTAGAACTTAGTCTGGAAGAACACGTAATCTATTCCATATTTTTAATGTCGCGGACGACAGCTAGTTACAAATATCATCGCAACTGGATAAGCGATGGTCCAAAGGGATTACGACATTTTTCTCGCTTATGATATTGGCAATGGTTTAACTCATTTCTCGCCGTAAAAAAATATCTTACCAATAGTGACATTGGATTGTGTATTAAGTATAAATCGAAGTATTCAAGTCCCATGTTGTTTAGTGACTGTCTGCAAGCTTTCTCAACGAGGTCCTTACGGTGGTATGTACTCCAGAGTTTTGATATTATATACAAATCCTCCCTAGAAAAGTATTATTTTTAGGTTATATGTTAAGCTGATTGAATAACCGTTGGTTTTAACACTAAAATCTCTGTATGAAACATATCGTCATCTCTCTCATTATCTTTGACAAAATAGAGACAAAAATATGTTTTTTTATAGAGGTTTGGTGGAAAAGAATACTAAAATTACGAAACATATTTTAAAAAAAAAAGTCATTTTAAAACAACGCCATCTATTGGTGAAAATGAGTACTTTAATTTTCTATATTAAAATTTACCTTTTGACAGTTCCATCGTTTATCTTATTATTAATAGCTTCTCCTATTTCCTTTTCATTACCATAGATAAAAGCTGTGTCTATAGCGCGGTATCCCATGTCTATGGCGGCTTCAACCACGTGTCTGATCAATCGTTTGTCCAACTGAAAATAAAAATATATAACAAATATAAGTAAGAAAAGTAATAAATTTTGGATATTAAAGCTAATTGAAGTATATAGAAATTATTTTGACACGATTATTATACAAATTTGAAGAATTTTGATGAAAAATTTAATGTAATTAGCGCCATCTATTAAAATGAAATACAACTAGTTGCATAAATTTTAAAAAGATGAAAATAAATTGGTCTTTTACAACAACGTAAATGTAAATAAAAACAATATTTTTGTTTTGATGTAATTTATAACAAAAATAGATGTCGTTAGCGACTCCGTCAGCGCGGAATAAAAAAAAACTTAATTAGTAGCCTATGTGTTCGTCAAGGCTATGTTCTACATCAGTCTTTCCCAAAGTGTACGATAACGCCCCCTTGTGGGCTGCAGGTCTCAAGTTGCGGGTTATAGTAAAAGTTTCCTTTACAATTCTCCGTTAATATACATATATAGGTCACAATAATTAATTAATTTAATTTGAAGTTATAGTGGTTTTTAAATATGTGAAAATATGGGGGCGCTAAAAAATATTTATTCTCAAATTGGGCAGTAGACAAAATAAGTTTGGGAACCAATGTTCTACATCTATAACTTTCAGTGTGATCCATCCATGTTCTGGAGATACCTTCTAACAAACATCTAAACATTCGCATTTATAATATTAAGATCGACTTACCAATGCAGTTCCTAAAGCTATAACGGGCATCTCTGAATTATCTCTTAACTCTAAATATTCCGTATTTAAACATTCATAATTATTCTTCACGTGTTTCAATTCTATTATCTTCTTTGTATATTCTTCTTCTGTCTTTTCCACGCTTACTTCTGTTTCGTTCTTCATTCTATATGTTTCTTTTCTCTTCTCCATTTTAACTGGAGGAAGTTTACCCTGGAAGTGAAATTATACAACTGACCAATGGTTTCTGTAGCTAAAAATATAAAACATATCGCCATCTCTGTCATTATCTTTGATAAAACAGAGATAACACTATAGCACCTGGATGATGGATTGTTTTTAAATTGTGTTTTTTGGAAATTATATTTAAGTAGGAATTACTAATAAAATGATGAAATATGAATAATATTTTTCCATCTTACAGATAGAAAAAGTTAAGTTTAAGTTGATTATAGATAAAACACGAATAAAATGACATTTTCTAAAAAATGATTCCTAGCTAGATCGATTTATCGTCCCCGTAACCTCCTATATACTAAATTTTATGAAAATCGTTGGAGCCGATTCCGAGATTCCAATTATATATATATACATACAAGAATTGCTCATTTAAAGATATAAGATAAGACTTTGAATGGAGATTTTGGACGTGGAAATCTAAACTTTATTCCAATCGAAGTATTAAGATGTTTGACAGATAAGATAATTTAAGAAAAAAAAACAAAACGTAATCAAATTTTTTATCTATTTTTAACATCCAATGATAATGTCTCAAATATTTTGTTTTAACCCTTAATTCGACCCCGAGACCAAAATTAGTACTCTTCCCTTCCCACCTTTTTTCTTATAAGGAAAGGATGGGAAGTAGAAGTGGACTTTCCGGATGAGAGGATGCATGGAAAGGGAAGATATATTCTTTCTGTGCATCCTCTCCTCCGTCGATTTAAGGTAGGCAACGCATATGCAATTGCATATGTCTATGGGCAACGGTCACTTCGCTATTTCAGCGATTTCAGATGGCCGTTTGCCACCTTATGATATAAAAAAAAATGACATATGGAAGATCTCGATTGTCTAATCTTTTCAGACGTCTGTCATTCTTGTTAATCACCATCCACCATCTTTAGTTTATCGTTTTTATCATCAGCTCACGCATACATATATTTTTTTTGTAAAACATTAGGCAGTAATCAAATTAAAATATAATCTTACTAAATAACTAATTATTACAAATCAAATTAATTAATACTATATTAAACATAGTTTATATACTAAAACTAAACTAAACTAAAAATAAAACTCATCATCAGCTCACTATTCATCCCCACCGAGGGGCTCGGAGCCTACCCTAAGTTAAGGGTGATTAGGCCATCAACCACGCTGGCCAAGTGCAGTGACTTCACACATATGTTTGAACTTCTCAGATATGTGCAGCATCACGATGTTTTCCTTCACCGTAACATCGGATAAATGTACATATGTAAATCGGAAATGGAAAAACACATTGGTACATGACGGGATTCGAACCCAGGACCTGCAGATTGCAAGTCAAGTGCTTGACCACTGAACCACCGACGCTCCTTTAAATAAAATAAAATAAAACTAAATAATATAAAAAATCGACTCGAAATCGCTGCGCTCGCACGGTAGTGTTAAATCAAATTAAATTAAAAATAATATTTAATACTTACAAATATTACGAGCACCATTATTATAAACTTTAAATACATTATGTACGAACCGAGACTGAGTGTTAAACTGAATTGGAAAGAAAGAATTGACCTAATGTTCTCGTTTATAATTTAACGCTTCGTGAACACGTAAGACAAAAGATGTTAAAATTTACATTTAGTTATACCGTTTTAAGATGTTCAAGTAAAAGAAATTAACGGAGATTTTAAAATAAACAGATCATTTGAATGTAGATTAGCTTTTTTAAGATTTCCTGCGAAATAACTGGAATCAAAAAAATAATATGCTACTAATCGCTAGATGGCGTTGTCTTATTTTGACAATTTTTTTTATTTTTTATTCTTATGTTATTAAATTTATATTATTATAAGAATGTAAATAGATGAATTTGAAGTAGTATGTACTTTATTTACTAGTTTACAGTTTTAATATTACTATTTAATTAGTTATCTTACAAACAAAATACAAAATAATTTTCAAAAAATTGTTTCATAATATCAACGCTAGATGGCGTGCTTGAAAGAAGACAGACAATTCTTATATTATTGCATTTATTTCTTTATATTTCAAATTACATACCACTAGAAGTATGATGCTCGTTCACAGATTAAAAAAATGACTAAACAGCACTTAAATATGTACTAAAAATAAATAATAATTGTCTTTTTAATGACCAATAGGTCAGTTTAGTGGACTAATAAGTAAAGCAATTAGAAATTAGGTTATTATACGTTATTGGTAAAATTACGTCCTCTCGTCCGTCTTAAAGGTAGGTATGCAATGGTTGCTTACTCTGTTACTTTATAAAATAAAAAAGACAAAATAACTTTTATATACTGTTAGGAAGAAAATCCGAAAATGTGCCGGTATAGCGCAACACTAGCCTTACTAAAATGTCGACGTTACCCCCTCACTAATCATTCTGACACTTGACTTTGTAACGAAAGCACATTCCCGCGACAAATAATTCTAATTATAGTGTCTATTTAAGATATATTAGTTTGACAATTCACTAGATATGGGTTGAGTAAAATCGTGGATGGATATACATATAAAAAAAACTTAATTAGTGTAGCCTATGTGTTCTTTCAGACTATGTTCTATATGTATGCCAAATTTAACCGAGATCCGTTCAGTCGTTCTAGAGATATCTTCAAACACCCATCCATCCACATCACATCCATGAAAACATTCTTATTTATAACATTAGTAAGTTAAATAAAAAGCAGCTCTTCAAGGCATAAATTCCGTCCGTCCGTCTCCTGGCTCTTAGCTACCTCCTCACCAATTTTCAGGCATATCGGTAAAGCCGTTCTTGAGTTATAAATAGTGTAACTAACACGACTTTCTTTTCTAGAAGAAGATAGAAGATAAACACATTATGAATGAAAATACTAACCTCAAATAAGGCAATCTTTTCAGAAACGGAACTTTTTCTCGGTTGTTCTTTTTGTACATCTTTTTTTCCTTGTGTAAGTATTTCCATTGAATTTATTCTCGTAATCATTTCGTGTACTCTTCCCTTGACAACTCCTCCTATCTCTAATTCTGCTACAGATGTTGTTCTTCTCGTATCAAAAACTGTTCTTCCATCTTTTATGTCACTTTGTAATCTGTCGTATGATATCATTGTTGAATTTTGTGTTATATATTCAAGAGATTTTGCTTTGTTCTCTTTATATATTAAATTATCATTATTAATATAAGTATTTATTTCATTTTGTATATAATTTAAATCTTTATTTGCTATATTAATGATTGAATTATTTTCTTTAGGTGTAAAATCAAATACGTCTTCATTTGTTTGTTTAATTTTGTCATTCGTTTCGTTTTTATTAGTATTATTGCTTTCATATTCTTTAGTAATTAAAGATTTCTCTAATTTATTATTCGTGTATATTTTCGTGTATGTATTTGATACACTCTTATGTGTTTCTATATCCTTATGCAATATTTGGGATATATTTTGTTTAACAAACGAATGTGCCTTTGAATTGCTTAATGATTGACTTTCCACGGAATTGCTTACGTCTGTCGTAAAATCTTTAACTTTAAAATTAGTTTTTAATAATTTGTTATCAGTTTGACAATATTTATATGATTCGTCGTTCAATTTCGTGTTATTATATGAATGTCTTTCATCTTCAAATTCAATATTAGATGTTTCTTCTTGCATTTCTTTTGATGTATTTTCTATCAATTTCGTTTTACTTTCAATTGTTTCTTTGTATATTTCTTTAACAATTTTAGGTCTTCTTAATTCAATGCTCGTTTGACGAATTGGATTTGGTATTCTTGTAGTTTTAGAGTCTAATTTAGTGATTCTTGTCTTCGGGTATACTTCGTCTGGTTCACCGCGCTGAAATTAGAAAAAAATAACGTCTAAACTAAAAATAATGTCTTGCTTAATCTTACTAATATTATAAATGCGAATGTTTAAATGGATGGATGTTTCATCATCAGCTCGCTATATGTCCCCACCGAGGGGCTCGGAGCCTGCCCTAAGTTAAGGGTTAGACTAGTCAACCACGCTGGATAAGTGCGGGTTCTCTGCATCTGTAGGTCCTGGGTTCGAATCCCGCCATGTACCAATGTGTTTTTCCATTTCCGATTTACATATGTACATTTATCCGACATTCTTATGATGAAGGAAAACATCGTGATGCTGCACATATCTGAGATTCAAAGATATGTGTGAAGTCGCGCACTGGGCCAGCATTGACTGTTACCTAGTCACATCTAAGTTATATAGGCTCCGAGACTCGGTGGGGACTTATAGTGAGCTGATGATAATTTATTCTTGTAAAATAAAATAAATAAAATTACCTCAAACATTTGAATTTTAGATAGAACAGATTTTTTCTTCGGTAAATCATTAGAACTTTTTTCTACTGACTTTGAATTATCTATTGAACTGATCCTACGTATAACTCTGTTTACTTTCCCTTTAAGAATTGGTATATCTTCTTCCATAGCTGTATCAATTTCAGGAATATTATTTTCGTTTTTATCGGTTTTAGAATTAATCTCTTTAACGTCTTTTATCATTCCAAATGTATGTTTATTTTGTGAATTCATTTTTGTAAATACATCTGAATATATTGTGTTTATTTCCTCAGTATTTTTTACATTTAAGTTTGTTAAACTTTTTCTTATATCTTTTATGTTATTTGTCTCTGTCTTGAACCCCGACTGGCCGTCGATCCATCGGTCGGCCAAGGTACCGCTGGCGAGACGCCGTAGAGCTGGATCTGCGGGATCTACAAGCGATGGACTGGCAGGAGAAGGCGCAAGACAGGCGACATTGGCGATCTCTTGTGTTGGAAGCCAAGAGCCACTTTGGGTTGATGCACCAGCGGAGTTACTAAGTAAGTCTGTCTTGTTTAACTTATTGGAAGCTGTAATATTAGTATTTATCATAGTTAGTTGGTTGGATTTAGTGTTTAAGTACTCAGTTGATATTGTTGAGTGTTGCGTGTTTACTGTTTCTTCTTTATGTTTGTTAGCTGAAACTGTAACAGATTTGTTAGATTTTATATTGTCTTTATTTGATGATTGGTCGTTCTTGTTTCTAATTTCTTCTATTATTCGCATATTAGTTGTTGCTGTATAATTTTTATTACTATCAATTGTGGTTTTGTTTTCTATATTTTTATTTGCTTCTACTTTTTTCACGATATCAAATTCGATATTTTCATATCTACGTGACAGTTCTTCAAGTTTTGTACTTTTACTTCTTTTGTTTTTTAAACATTCTATCGACATTTCTATATTTGAATTTTCGTTTGAATCTTTAAATGAGGTTTTATCTAGAATTTCATTTTGTTTCTCGTCTGATGATTCATTTGTTTCTAACGATTTTATCGAAGGTATACTTAAGCTGTTTGATGTAGATGTTTTATATTCAAAGTTTTCTATTTTATCCATCACTTTATGAAGATTTTCCCTTTCATTTCTTTCAGATGTCTTTTGTATTAATGTTTCTGAATTTATAATTTTAGTTTTTGATTTCAAAGCATCGTCTTCAAGTGAAACTTGTCTTAAAGTGCCAACGTTGTTAGTTTCAATGTTACTCTTTTCTAATAGTGTTTGTTTTGTACTATTTTCTTTATCTGTTTTTAAAGATTTTGTTGATTCTAAAGTCAAATTATTTATTGTTTTATTTTCTTCAAGTGACATTTCTCTGACAATACTCTGATTAGTTTCAAATTCAATTGTTTTGGTATCGTGTAATTCTTGCTTTTCGTGTCTTTCGTTTATTTTAGCGGATTGGTTAGAAATTTCTGCAGTTACATAATTATTGGTCTCTTCTACAAATATTGTTGATGTTTTTGTATTAATATTCATAGCTTTTGTCTCTGTGATTTCGTTTTTTTCTAATGAAACTTGTTGAACTAAAGATTCACGACCGATTTCAATATTTTCACTTGTTTCTTTTGTTTTTAATGATTGTTCGAATGTTAATTTACTTAAATTGTTATTTTCTGTTGTTTGTTTTGCTTTAATTTCGCTGATTGACTCAATATTAAGGTTTTCTTCGTAATTAGCTCTTTCAAATGTTTTAGTAGATTTCAAAGTTTGTGAGTTTTCTTTTGTAATGTTTTTCGATTCATTATATTCATTTAATATTGTCATATCTAAAGAATCGAAATTATTTTCAGTGAAATCGATTTTATAGATCTTTGAGACTGTTTCTTTATCGAAATTAAGGTTTTTAGTGATTGTTATATCTTGAGTTAAGTCTTCTACTTCATTTGTACTTCCTGTAGTTTGGATATCAAAGACAGGGGTAGCGATTTTTATAGTTTCTTTGAATTGGTTAGATTTTATTTGATTTTGAACATCTATGTTTGATAATGATGTTTGATTTTTGAATACTATAGTATTGTTATTTGTTATTTTATTAGTTTCTTTTTCTATTTTATATATTTCAGTATTTTTTGTTTGTTCTGATACAATCCTCCCTGTAATACCTTGATTTAAAGTTGTATTTATTTTGGTATCAACGGAATTACTCTTTTTTAATGTTTGTTTCTCTTTTGTTTTTGGTATTTCGATTTCATGTTCGCTTTTTCTTTTTAATAATGGTATCATTGATTGTCTTTTGTCTGTGTCTGTTTGCGTTATTTTATTATCTTCATATGCATGCATTATTTCCTCAAAGCTGAACTCCATAGATGCATCTTCAATTGGATTTAATTCTTGGAATATTCTATCGAATTCTTCATCTGCTCTCACTGTGGTTTCTTCTTTTTTAATAGTATCTTTAGTTGATGGTATTTTACTATCTTTCAGTCTTGGGATTGATGATTTACGTGAAGAACTGGCAATCTGTAATTAAGATATATCAAAAAAGTTAGTCGACACATTGGACCGAAGAGCTGGCAGCTACCCTGGACAAAGAATTAGTAGTCTGGGTGAAATTTCTACTACGTCCTCTTTTGTACCATTTCAAGGGGCCCTATCCTAAAGCTGTCCCTGTTTGTTTTAGATAAAATATAAGTAAAAGGAACTTACTTGTTTTTCTTTTTCGAGTCTCTTTTTTTCTTTGATATCATTTTTAACTTTATTAACGGCTTGTCTTAATCTTGACATAGGTATCTTGGATTTTAATCTGTTAGAGTCTGGTGTTTTATCTAGAAATTAAAAAAAATGTTATTATTATTTACCTTCCTCTTCCGGACTTAAATGGGATAGGGTCTTGTCAGTGAATCACTATAACCCTGCCTTAATAGGGTTGGCACAGCATTTACTCCTCCATACATCTCAATCGGTCATATCTGAATCTACCCCCTTCTTACGCATATCCTCTTTCACACGATCCATACTTTCACTGGTCTTCCCCTACCTTTGTAACCATCCACATTCAATCTCATTACTTTCAGTGACATGAATAATATTTTTGTTTTACTATCAAGCTATCAAGGTATTGCTAAAATTTGTAATCATCATCATCAGCTCACTGTACGTCCCCACTGAGGGGCTCGGAGCCTACCGTAAGTTAGTGACTAGGACATAGTCAATGCTAGCACAGTGCGGGATGACTTCACACATATCTTTTCTGATAAATGCAGGTTGCAGGGTGCAAAGAACTTTAAATAAATGTTCATATTTAAATCTAAAAACACATTGGTACATTGCGGGATTCAAACCCAGGAGCTGCAGACAAGTTAAGTGCTTAATCCCTAAGCCACTGACGTTCTTGTAATACAAAAATGAAGCTATTTTCAAGATAAAATGTCTGTAAAGAATTTAGTTCATCATCAGCTCACTATACGTCCCCACTGAGGGGCTCGGAGCCTACCCTAAGTTAAGGGTGATTAGGTCATAGTCAACCACGCTGACCAAGTGCAGTGACTTCACACATATCTTTGAATTTCTTCTCAGATATGTGCAGCATCACGATGTTTTCCTTCACCGTAATTTAAGTTAAGAATTTAGTTAATTTTAGATAATAATTCAATTTAAAATTCTGTTTAATTTTTACCTTCTTTTGGTCCATCATTTGTACTTTTTGGTTGTGTTATTGAAGTATGCATTTCATAAGTTAAACGTCTATTTAATGTGTTTTCGCCTTCATTATTCGTTGATATATGCTGAAAAATAAAAAAATAATATTTAATAATTGAATGATTTATTGAAAAGTATATAGATGAGCGTCGGTGGCTCAGTGTTCAAGCACTTGACTTGCAATCTGCAGGTCCTGGGTTCGAATCCCGCCATGTACCAATGTGTTTTTCCGTTTCCGATTTACATATGTACATTTATCTGACTTACGGTGGAGGAAAACATCGTGATGCTGCACATATCTGAGATATTCAAACATATGTGTGAAGTCAACTGCACTTGGCCAGTGTGGTTGACTATGGCCTAATCACCCTTAACTTAGGGTAGACTCAGAGCCCCTCAGTGGGGATGTATAGTGAGCTGATGATAAATTACGGAATTTAAACATCTGTGTTTTGAATTGTGATTAAATGTTTATTTCTGTCAATAGATGGCGCTTTCTCTAACGATTGTAAAGATTTTTTTCTGATAATCATTAAATTGGACTATGTATCAATTTTTAATGATTAAAAAGACTAATAAAATATAAACAAAATAATTAAATAGTGATATATTCCTATTAAACATTTATTATTTTTGTAAAAAAATCAATCTTTAAAGTGTTTTTGCTAATGGACAATAGATGGCGCTGTTTCGACGAAAAATCTCATTTCAAAATTTAAAATAAAAGACTTCAAATTATTGCGTTTCATTTAATGCAATCAATATTTATAATCTAACTTCTGTACGGTGGTCACAATTTTTTTGCCCGGCATTGTTTGTTTTTTGAACAAATGCCGATACTTTACCGATATGTCCTCCGTAACGGTGACTTTTTGCAGCTTCAAATCCCCTTTAGTGAATGTCGCTTCGTTCTTAGTAACCGTTATGACTGGAGATAGAGTAAAATCTGCTGTTGCAATTTCAGACGTATTCCCTATGCTTAAGGAATCATTTTGCTTATCAATGCTTGACGTTTGAGCTTTATCGTCATTGGTCTGTTTTTCCTTGAATTCTTCGTTAACTTCTCTGATGTTATGCTCGCCTGGTACATTCGATTCAATGTTTTTCTCAGACATGCTAGAAATTTAATGGTAAAAAATAGAATCTTAATCTTAATTAATTTATATCTAGATTTAGTTAAAAAAACATACTTGTAAAATTTTTTACAATTAATATATGAAAATTGTTAAATTTACCGTGGGTTTCTTAGTCCTAAATGTTAAAAATTCTAGTGTCAGAAACCCACGGTAAGTGAATTTTAAAGTGATATTCCATACAAAAACCCAACAGTTCTACTAGTGCCCTTTTTTTACTACGCCTTTGGAGGGGGGGGAGTTTAACCATCGCCTGGGCGAACCAACCGCGCCCTACCCAAACACCATTCCTTCCACCATAGACAAAGCCCATAAATTCCATGACATTTTCATAAAATAACTGAAAAAATTACATTGCAAATGGTCGCCATTTAAATTTGACATTTCTCTCTTCACATATTTGAAGCCTCCATTTAATTGTCCCGGCTCGTCCGGTGATATACCACGAGCACACAGAAGACACGCCTCAAGTGGAAGCAATTCCAACTACAGTCTGATGAGTTTACATCCCGGAGACCTAATTTAGTCCTCTTTCCCTTCCCACCCTTTTTCTTATAAGGAAAAAATGGGAAGTGAAAGTGGACTTTCCGGATGAGAGGATGCATGGAAAGGGATCCTCCGTCGATTAAAGATATGCAACGCATGCAATTGCGTATGTCTAAGGTCAACGATCACTTCGCTATTTCAGCGATTTCAGGTGACATTTGCCACCTTACGATATAAAAAAAATACATTTTTCTATAAAAAAAAACAAATGCTTACTTACGTATTTTTCACGAAGAACTTCAACAAAGAACTGTGTCCTATATCTTGCATAATAAACTCTTATCTTTGATAAAAAGAAACAATCGAACAATTAATAATTGATAAATAAATTCAATTGAAACATAATGATTTCATTGGTTTACATAATATGATGTTTTGTGATAAACAACGTGTCAAAATTACGTATAATCTTTTAGCAAGAGCCTATTATCAATGAATTACTTTATTAAAAACTGGAATAGTACATTCCGGCATACAAAACTTACTTTACGTAACATACGACTGAATCATTAACTAAAAAAAAATACTAACATTATAAACTAGCTGTCGCCTGCGACTCCGTACGCGTGGATATAGAAAAAAACTTAATAAGTGTAGCCCATCCATCCATCCACATCACATCCATCTAAACATTCGAATTTATAATATTAGTAAGTTAAAAAAGCAGCTCTTCAAGACATAAATTCGAAAAAAATGAATAAATAGTATCCCATGTCCGTCTCCTGGCTCTAAGCTACCTCCTCAACAATTTTCAGGCATATCGTTAAAGCCGTTCTTGAGATATAAATAGTGTAACTAACACGACTTATATATATATATATATATATATATATATATAGATTACCTGTCGCCGGCGACTAGATTTAAATAAAAATATTGGGTAGCCTATGTACTATACTATGTTCTATATCTATGCCAAATTTCATCAAGATCAGTTGAGGCTTTCCGGAGATATCTTCAAATAACCATCCATCTAAACATTCGCATTTATAATATTAGTAAGATGCGAATATTTGGATGAGTGTTATAACATATCTCCAAAACGGTTGCATTGAATCTCGCTGTCGCATAAATGTAGAACATAATCTGGAAGAACACATAGACAACGATTTATTTTTAATTCTGCGCGGACAGATTCGCTGGCGAAGACTAATCAATAGCTGTTGCTCGCGACTCCATCCGAACCGAAGTAGCCGATGTTTTTTCAGCTGTCATTGCAGAATTCACACCCTTTTAACTTCCCTTTCATGCAATCCATACATATTCTATTGGTCTGTAATCCATCCAAAAATTATTGTCATGTTATGCACCTATCTTGTATCCGTACAGTTAAGCCTGGATAACAAAGACTATAAAACCGCGGCATTCTCGCTTAAAAAGGTTCCTTTCTACCAGAGTATCTCGCTTATGTACATCCGTTAATGATTGTCCAGATTCGATTGTTTACCCAACTATTGGATTATTAAAAACACTTTTCACAACACTTTATTGTACACTTTTTATTATTATTTTTTTTAATTACAAAACACACTGAAATGGCTTTTGTTATACGACTGTCGTTATCAGGTGATAGCAATTGATAATTTATTGATTAGGAAATCGATATGATTACGCGTATTAACGTTATAAATATTTTATATATAATATAATTCTGTTATTGTCATTTAATATATAATTCTAAACCTTTATTAATATAATAAAATATTAAAAAAATAAAGAGTTATAATCCGAGAACGTCAGACCCGGTTACAGGTGTTGCCATCAGCAAATATGTCAAACCTACTACATAATAAGTTGCCGGCGTCAGTGTTTTCGTCCAGCTATAGCGTACCTTCAAGATTATACACTTATTTACTGTACTAATTATCACCCGCGACTACGTCCGCAATAAAAAATAAACATAATTAATAGCCTATGTGTTCTTCAAGACTATGTTTTATATGTATGCCAAATTTCATAAAGATCCGTTGAACCGTTCTAGAGTTACCTTCAAAGAAATATCCAAACATCCATCTAAGCTTTCGCATTTATAATATTAGTAAGATGTGTTTAAAAGTATAGGAAATGAAAAGACAAAACACGACCAGACAGCGAAAGAACGACAAGGATATATAAATCAGTGAGGGGCGCTACTATCGCGGTTTGACTTATACCCTTCAATTGATTTTAAAAATTCTTTCGCCGTTGGTAAGCTAAAATATCCCCTGGAAAATAATATGCGGACAAAACCGCGGATAACAGCTAGTTGGGAATACTGAATACGTCATGCACATGCGTTAAACATATTTCTTATCTCTGTCTTATCCAAACGGAATGTGAGAGACGTCGATATCATTCATGTCCAGAATGGAAATTCGCACATCGTTACAAACTAGTTTCAGCCCACGACTTCGTATGTGAGGATTAAAAAAATCTTATTAAGTACACTTTGTGTTCTACCACGTAGCGTTCTGAAGGTACCTTCTTACAAACGCCCTTCCTACTGCATTTATAATATTAGTAAGAAGTAAGATATGTGGATGAGGTACGTTATGCGATTTGTTCCAAGTAAATTATAATATTGCGAGTGACGCTGGGTGTTTCCACTAGTGTTGTACATATAATAGGACTCAACAAGTGTCGACAGGCACGCAGGACGGGCGCTTATTAAATATCTAGCGCGCATCGCATTGTCGGCACATCTCTGTGTAGGGTGACCATGATGATTATTGCGGACAGTCTCGATTTATGCTTAATGTCACAGAGTCACGTTAGGGTACGTTAGTCCAACTAAGGTTTGCGGAGCCTAGGCCATAGTCAATGTTGGCTCAGTGCGTGACTTCACACATATCTTTTAATATCTTCACAGATATGTGCAGCATCACGATGTTTTCCTTCAACGTAACATCGGATAAATGTACTCATGTATGGATGTAAATCTAAAAACACATTACGAGTCAAGTATTTATCTCCTGAACCACCGACGCGTTTGTGTCCTCATTTTAATTTATATAATAGAGTTATAAAAAGCTGTTTCATTCTTTCTGTCCAACGCCCTACACTAAAGTCGGAACTGTTTTTAAATATAAGCGTCGGTTACCCGTTAAATACTATATCTATCTCAGTTATTTCAGTGAGTGTAAAAGGGATAACGATACTTTTTATTCAACGGTTTTGACAGTGAAAGTCTACAGTAATAAAAATCTGTACCTCTTGTTTAAATCATGTGGACAGAATTTTTTCTTGAAATGTTGGTTACCCTACACTTTGCAAGAGTAAATATTTATTCTTGTGCCGTAATCGCCTTTATACCGTGGACTTAAAGTATAAATTCCTTTAACTTATAATTTTAGCTATCCTAAGAATCAAATGCTATTTATTAATGCATTGAAAAATGGTTTCTATTTACTTATAGTTAAAGTTGTATTTCGTTTGCTTTGTTAAAAGATAAGTCGGGATCGAATTCCTTTAACAATGAAGATGTCTTTAATGGGGGTAGCAATGGAAATAAATTCACGTCTTAAATAGGTTATCGGGGTGAATTCTCACCCTGTACGTATTTATAAATTTATTTATAGGTTTAAATTACATACGTGGTTTTATTTTTAAAACATAAATTTCGCTTCTCGTGTTATATTACGAGTAGCTGTCGCCCGCCCAGAAAAAAAAATAGTAGCCTATGTGTTCTTCCAGACTTTTGTTACTTATCTTTATATATATAATTTTTCTGTGACTGTGTACGTCACTGAACTTCTCTCAAACGACTGGAGCGATTTTGATGAAATTTTTTGTGTCTGTTCAAGGGGATCTGGGAATGGTTTAGATTCACAATTTTCATCAAATATTAACTTCATATTAATTTATTCAAATTAAAGACGTGTAGACAGGACAACGTCAGTCGGGTCCGCTAGTGTTCTATATGTATGCCAAATTTCATCGAAATCCGTTCAGCCGTTCTAGAGATACATTCAAACAAACATCCATCTAAACATTCGCATTTATAATATTAGTAAGATTACTTTGACTGTACCCAAAATAATACTTCGGCATTTTAGCTTTCGAACGCGTAGCAGTGCTACAAATCTCGTAGCACTTAAATCTAATATTCGGAACCTCGTAGCTACTACGCCGTAGAAATTATACGTTAGCACTGCTACAATTTCGTAGACGAATAAGTACTACGAATTTTTGTAATACTTTGTAATTTTGGTTTAGTTAATTTATTTTTGCTCTGTTTTAATAAAATTTAAGTGTCTGTACGTAATAATATCTGGGCATATTTAGTACAACTCTAGTAGAAAAAAAATACTGTCCGTTTTCAAGGTCATTTTGTTCCGGATAATCTCCGGAACGGTTGGATGGATTTTGAGGGGCCTTTGACTGGAAGGTAGCGGATGTATACGGGCATGTTATAGGCTACTTTCTTAATTATGTGCTGAAGAAGATAATACGACATGATTTTTGTCTTCGAGAAGCGTTGCTTGTGCTTTGTAGTGTAGAAGCTTGGCCAGGATAATAGTATTCTTAGGAAAGACAGATCGCCATTGCCCCGGAGGCCTAATTTAGTCCTCTTTCCCTTTCCACCCTTTTTCTTTTAAGGAATGGATGGGAAGTGGAAGAGGACTTTCCGGATGAGAGGATGCATGGGAGGGGAAAATATTTTCTTTCTGTGCATCCTTTCCTCCGTCGATTAAAGATAGTCTATGGGCAACGGTCACTTCGCTATTTCAGCGATTTCAGGTGGCCGGTCGCTCGTTTGCCACCTTATGATATATAAAAAAATTATGCAGGGAAATTACTTGTATTCGGTAATATGTTGAGATTTTTTATATTCCTGGTCACACTATCTTGTGTTCTATGTTCTGTGACGTGATAAGTCGTAGTCTAGATCATAGTTAGAACATCTATCACGTAACCTGTCACGCTGCGGGGTGATTAGTGCGGAGTGCCGACCAGTGTACCCTCTTACACGCTAATGCTGGAACAGGGAAAACTATAGAGTAGATACAGTTAAAATATTGACGATAAAGGTAACATGAAAATTAAAGGTTAAAACACGTGTCTGCCCTTTTAAAATAAATCATTCACTGTTACTTTGTCTTGGTTTTAATTGCTGTCTTTCTTCTTTCAGTTCAAATGTTAAATTAAATATATATATAAAAGAAAGTCATGTTAGTTACACTATTTATAACTCAAGAACGACTTTACCGATATGCCTGAAAATTGGTGAGGTAGCTTAGAGCCAGGAGACGGACATAGGATACTATTTATTTTTCTCGAATTCATGCCTTGAAGAGCTGCTTTTTATTTAACTTATCTTTGTATTTTCTGTATATCCACGAGGATGGACGGACGATAGCTAGTAGAATATGAAAATAGAGTAATGTGTTGTTTTTTTTAACATCCAAAACTATGTTTTACATAACAATAACAATTTTATATTGAAAATGACTATTAGGTTTTTTATAACATTAAATATCAATACAAACGCATCTTTTTAGACTTTTTTTACCTTTAATGTTTTAAACACCTTT